CATAAAATTCGATCATGGATTACAAAAAAAAACAAAAAATTCAATCATGGATTACAAAAAAAGAAAAAAACAATTCGATCATGGATTACAAAAAATTCAATCATGAATTACAAAAAACTCTATCATGGGTTACAAAAAAAGCAAAAAACAAAAAATTCAATCATGGATTACAAAAAAAAAACAAACATTTCGATCATGGATTACAAAAAAACAAACATTTCGATCATGTATTACAAAACATTCGATCATGGATTACAAAAAATTCTATCATGGGTTACAAAAACATAAAAAAAACAAAAAATTCGAATCATGGATTACAAGAAAAAAAACAAACATTTCGATCATGAATTACAAAAAATTCGATCATGGATTACAAAAAATTCTATCATGGGTTACAAAAAAACAAAAAATTCGATCATGGATTACAAAAAAACAAAAACAATTCGATCATGAATTACAAAAAAATCGATCAAGTATTAGCAAAAAAATCTATCATGGATTACAACAAAAAAAAAAAAATTCCGTACGGGACTCGTCGATTCACTGTTCAGAGTCGCCGATTCCATACAGTGAATCGGCGAGTCACTGTAAAGAATCGTCCGGTTCTCTCTAGAACCGAACGATTTCCGATTTTTTAGCCGATACGATCCACTTTTTACGATTTTCGAGTCGAACCGGGCGAGTCCGGTTCGACTCGGCATTTTTTAAAACACTGGTACTAACACATCCAAGATGCAATACTCTTGTCAAATGCTCTATAAACTTAGAGCACTACCCAACATTTCTTTTTAAAATCTCACAATAAAAGTACTTTATGTTACCAAATAACCCACCTCTCTCTCTTTTCAAATTAAATGGTATATTGATGTGTTGTATCTAAAAGGAAATTTATAAAGTTGTTATTTTTAACCCTCGTATCCATATCCATGTCAACCAGTACATAACTTTCCAAACAAATTGTAAGGAGCTAAGTCGCTTGAGTCCCGACCTCTTACCCCCAATGGTTGAATGACTCATACTAGCTGGGCCCACATTTTCTCTATAGGAAACCCATTCCCAGCATTTATCAACCCCAAGGGTTTGGAAAAAGTAAAGAAAAACATAAAGGGTGTGATTTCTATAAGGTTGCAACCGTAAACAATCCAATTAAGGCGCACCTCCAAACTTTATGATAATATGTAATTTTAGTGTAAAAAATTCTTAGGATTATCTGAAAATCTATTTTCATATATAATTATAGAATTTAAAAATCCAAAAATAATTAAAATCAAGTTGATCTATAAATATATAAAAATCTTGAAAATGGACGGTCTAAATAATGTGTTGCAAGATGCACTATTTTTTGAACTTATAAATTTTTTTTTTTTTTTTTTCATATTCATACATCTCAATGTCGAGATAATCAATTAAAAGGTTTTTCTACATTGAAATAACGTTCTCCGATGGATTTTTGAGGTGCATCTGTAATTCTACATTTTACAGTTGCAACCTTATATAAACTTTTCCCAAACATAAAACCGCCATAATTTTTTGAATCCTGAATTCTGTGTTTGATGAGTGCGGGATGTGCCAACAACCTAAAGACTGCTGGATCACAACCTTGATACCATGGGGGAACAAATCTGAATTTGCATTTTAAGAAAAAAATCTTAATTAAATTTGTGAAAAATTTGTTCATTTATATCTTTCACCATCATAAATAGGTAACATATTTAGCTCACCTCTTTTAGGGTTTTGAAACCCAAATATGGGAGGAACATTCATGTCTCAAATCGGAGAACTGTACAAATTCTCTAGGTACCAGTGCTCTACAAGCTAGACCGGGATCTTGAACCGGGGACCCAACGGTTCGGATATGACATGGTAGTACAAAATCCAGATCAATGAGTATCATAATGTTTGTATGGACCCCATCCAAAAAAAAAAAACCAAAAAATTTAAAAGAATTAAATTGACATATGATTTTGAGGGAAAGATTTCTATGCTTTATGAGAATGACTTGAGGCCTTGGCGGTAGTATTGCTGATCCCCATGATGAGATCTCAGACTTCATTTTCACCAAAAGATATCCATTCCTACCGCAGACACCCCCAAATAACACCTTCAAAATGTAGAAAAAAGGCTGAGGTCGTGGTGATAGTATCCTTATACCCAGTTACCTCATCGTGGAATCCATTCCTACAGCTAACGCCCCGAATTAACACATTCAAAATGTAACTCTCCAATCTATTGAAATAACAGGTAGGGGCTTGTCTTCCCCACTGAATTACCCAAACAAAAAAAAAAAATTCTATATCTATGCTTCCCCTACAGCATAAAAGATATATACTTCCACTTTATTCAACCATCCAATTTAAATCACGTGAACCACTAACCATTTAATCAAATCCGACACCTAATTTTTCTTCTACTAACTATATGAATATGAAATTTGGTATTATTATCACCTCAATGAGATGCACCTAAATAAAATATTAAAAAAATATTTTTGATAAAATATAATGACCAAAATACCCCTAATACTTTCAAGGGCATTTTAATCATTTTATTTTATTGGAAATATTTTTTTTATATTGTTTTATAGGTGCGAGTTCAAGAAAGGAATGGAAGCTCATATATATATATATATATATATATATATATATATAGTAGGTACTATTGTAGTAGTAGACGTACTACTACGTAACGCCTACTTACTAAACTTAAGTAGTACGTA